TTCATGCCAAATCCATCTCTTGACACTGAGACCATCTAAGTGGTCACCACCTTTAGGCAGACTCTGGTTACTTTCTGACTTATTCACTGGGGGACATCAAAAGTTGTTTCTTTAAAGAGGTCTGAAGAACTGGGGCTCCAAAAGTTTCAGTTAGACTTACTTGTCTAAGATTCATATGCCCATGAACTAGACAATTAATTAGCCTCTGTTGTTCAGTTCTGTTTAAAAACAGAATGCTGATAACAATCCCAACTATTTTTACTTTCAAAGTTGATAAGCCACTTTTTGTTTGTGATATCATGTGATTCTTGGATACTGTGGAAAGGGAGTTACTGAAATTCTTTGCACTTCTTCATATGAGAGAAGAAATGCTTGCCTAAGTTTACCTGTACTGGAGCCATATTCACACTCCAGACCCTTAACTGGAGTTTTCTCTTCTTTTTTGAAAAAATAAGATTCCTTCTCCCAAAGCATCTGAAGTTCAGCTTTCTTTCCTCTTGCACACTGAAATCTACCAGGTAATACTTTTTATGTCTTGGGTTTCCACTATGAAGATCAGTATTAAAAAATGACAGCAACTTATTATTTATGGCAGTATCTATTGTTACAATGGGAGACAGACCAAACAATTCCTATTGTTACAGATGCTACTTTGACTTGACAGCTGGGAAAGTCTGATAGGCAGTTTATTTACTTAGCCATTTAACCAAATAAATGTTTTCATTTTTCTTTCATCTCTTCAAAAGCTAACATTTCACCCTCAAAATTGCTCCAGCAACACACATCAGTGAAGTATAAATTACCTGCCATTCCCACACCAACCATTATAATATTATTTGGGGTCTTTTTTTTGTCCCTGTTGACTCAGTTTTTCAAAGACACGTGATTCTCTCAGATGGGAAAGCAGAGGAGGAACAGTGAAATAATTGAAGATATTTTCCTTTATTGCAAACACAGAAATGTTTAGGATTGGCTCTGAAGTCTCTCCCTGTAGGGATGGAGTCTGTCTGTTTCATCTTACTCTGGAGCAATATAGCTTTAACTTATCAACAGATGTCATCCCTATTTACTCAGAACTGTGTGGCTATTTCTAATAAAAAAAACAGCTGGAGATAATGCTTTCAAGAGTAATAAGAAGGTTGGGACTCTTGCTTTTCCATGTTATGAAATTGGGGGTGGGGTACAGTGTGTAGGAGGATAGGGAATAAAGCCCTGGCCATAACTCTCCCTTCATGCCTTCCCTTTCTTAAATGTCCAGAAAGGCAGTAAGAAATTGAAGTCAGTAAATTTTCAGTGTGTGAAGGGTACGGAGATAGAGATTGCAAGTGGCATATGCTGCCATTGATGGAGTGTACCAGAAGGCTTCCTCTATAGGGTTGTAGGGAATCTGCCTGCATGGTGGCATCAATCTTCTGGCACACGGTTTTTCACAGGGACCTGTGAAATGGCCCTGTTAAACTTAGAAAAGGGGAAAATTACTTCACCAAATATTGTAATCTGGTTGTCTTAGGGGTTGAGAGGAAATTAAGATTTACATATAAAGCCAGGTATTGGTGGCTTACACCTGTAATCCTAACTACTCAGGTGGCTGAGAGCTGAAGATTGAAGTTCAAAGCCAGCCCAGGCAGGAAAGTCTGTGGGACTCTTATCTCCAATTGACCACCAGAAAATTGGAAGTGGAGCTGTGGTAAAACACTAGCCTTGAACAAAAGAGCTCAGAGCTTGTGCCCAGGCCCTGAGTTCAATCCCCACGAATGACAAAAAAGGAAGACAAAAAAGGTTTGCATATGAATCTAAGTCTTATGATTTCTGGATATGAGAGGTGGCCTGGGAAGCTCAAACTGGGATCATTCTGATTATGCAAGGTGGTCAGGTGAACAGCTACCAAATAGACCCTTTCCATCACTCCAAGCTTTTTGGGGTATTTGGAAAATTAGTTACCTGGACATCCAAAGAATCAAACAAAACCACATCAATCAAGATGTGCATGTGAAATCAACAAACCAAAACAACCTCCAGTCCAATAACCTGTTCAACACAAGAGCTAAATGTATAAAATCCAAGGGAGTCAGCGGTTAATGTTAATTGAACTTATATGATAATGATGGTGGCTGTGAGGATGATAATAGTTACAGTGATGGTGATAACGGTGTTGGTGGTATTGCTGACAATGATGGTAATAGTATTGATGGGGGCAGTGGTGGTAGTGGTGATGATGATAGTATTGATTATGGTTGTGATGATGGTAGTGTCATTAGTGGTAGTGGTGGTGGTGGTGGTGTTATTGGCAGTAGTGATGATGATTATGGAGATAATGGTGCTAGTGGTAGTGACAGACCTAGTATTAGTGGTGATGAGAGTATTGGTGATGATGATGGCATTGGTGATGATGATGGTGGCATTAATGTAGTGATGGTAACAATGGTGGTGGTATCGGTGTGGTAGTGACAGGGGTAAGGGTATTAGTGATAATGATGGTGGTATTGCAAGTGATAGTGACAGATGTAATGGTGGTAATTAGGATGATGGTGAGGAGCATGGTGGTAATGATGGCAGCTAACTTTTATCAGGTGCATTCTATGATATTGAACTAAAACTCCACATGCATTATCCCATTTAGTTCATCCAAAACCCCTTTGAGGACATCCCTGTTTATAAGTATTTTTCAAAAGAAGAAAATCAGATTAACTAAGATTAGAGAACTGTTATGAAATCTCAGCAGAATCACAGAGCCAAGCAGTGGTGGTACCAAATGCTGAGGAAAGACAGTGTTACCCCAGAACCCACTGTTTGTCTCCATGTTGGAAACTCAGCATATGCTATCTCAGGTCACACCGAGGATAATAGAAGCCTGCTCTGAAAGGTGAAAAAAACAGAGCCAAAAACCAAGACTCAAAAAAAAAAACCACCCCAAAACAAACCAGTATAGCTCTTGCCCAAGATTTTCCTCCAGTAAATGGCTGAGATAGGATTTGAACTCAAGTTTCATATTTCGAGCCTCTGCCACAATATTGTCCTATGTCCCTTTGGAACTCGGCCATGGCTAGGGGTGCCATATGGAACCGAGCAAGCAAAGCCATGAGACAGCTTGCATGATTGCCTCAAGCTGAACAGGCTCAGGAGATGAGGGCTTGATAAATCAATCAGCAAATAATGTAAGTCACCTTTGTTTTCTAGAAGAACTTCAATTTTAAGATGATGTTAGTCACTCTCCTGATGAATGGCTCTTGCCAACTCTGGTTCATTCATCACATTTTACAGGGCAATGTTGAGTATATGCAAGATGGAAGAAAGTTCTCTTTTCCTTGTGCTTTGACTTTGTCTTTAATACGCCAGCTCCCCAAAATAGTTTTGGAAGACTAATTTTTTTATATTTCTTTTTAAAAATTTTTATATATTTTTATTGTGAAAATACTGTACAGAGGAGTTACAATAACATAGGCAAGGTAATGAGTACATTTCTTATCAAGCATTGTTGCCTCCTCCTTTGTTTCCCCTTCCTACCCCTTCTCATCTCCTCCCCCCCTTGTCAAAGTAGTAAAGTTTGTTTTTCAACATCTTGTTGTTGCAATGAGTCCATCTGTATCCCTATTTAAATGATTTGTTTAACTAGGTATATTACATGGTTTTTAAATTGCATGATGTATTATTACATGTTATTGAGGAATAAATAACATGTAATAATACATCATGTAGAATAACACATAATAACATGTGGCCAAATATGCATGTTACTTTCTTTAATGATAACATCTATAACAAACTGCAACTTACAAAACACAGTATTAACTTTCAATAACTTATGCATGAACTGAGGATGATTCTGAAGTAGCCTCAGATTCTATTCATGGCAGTAGGGAACTGTTTAACATTTTAATGGCTCTGATAATGCCGTTCAGGACTCAAAGAAGGAGCTCTTTGGGTATGGCCTTGCAGCCCTGCAAGTTTATGAAAATACTAGGAAAGGATCTTAAAATTGAATACATTTATCAAGAAGAGACCTTAGAAATCATGTGTGAGTAATAAGGTGTACTTCTGTCTCCTGAGAAGTCTTGCTACATCTGCTCTTCTTTCTTTGCATCAAATCAGATGTATTGAAATTCAAGCGCCAAGAACCACTTCTAGGCAGTGTAAGTACATCTCTCTCAAAGTAGCTGCTGATGGAATCTCAAGTGACTCGGTGACAAACCACACAGTGTAGCACAGGTGCCAAGAGCAAGCCTCAAAAAGGGACAGCTGTATGTCTTTGGGCTTTGAATTTCCCTGACACCTTGGCAGGGGTCCTATATGAAAAGGGCTACCAGGGTCTTACATCTCCATCAATATCATTGCAAGCATTGCTTGTTTTTGTTTTTAAACTGTGTAGTGTGAATTCTCAGTGTATTTTATTGGTGACCTCTTTAGTTCTGGGGCATGTAGGAAAATGCAGTGACATTTTGCTTAAAAGATTAGAGCATTTTTGGACCACGTCTCACTGGGAAATGATCAAGATGTTGTAAAATACGCCTATCCCCAAAATCAATGTTTTTAGGAATTCAACCCATATGAAGTCAGATTGACCAGGATTCATTCTAGCCCCACTGTACTCTCAGTATAAGGCATTAATAAAATAATGAATAAAATAGAACAATGCTTCCCCACAAGTATACTTCCTGGTATAAGTCAAAGGTCATTCATCTATGAGAATGAAAAACAGAGTGGAAAATAGAAACTAGGAAGGGAGAGATGCCACAAACATTGGTAATTTGGCACACACAAGGAGGGATGGTGCAAACATCAGAAACATCATTCAGACCTGGAGAGATGGAGCAAGCACTGGTAATAGAAAGACAGTTTTTTTTCAGGAAATAAAGCATAGGCAAAGAGAGATGGTACACATATTGGTAATACATTACAAGCATGGAAGAAAAATACATAGACTGGAAATATGATCTTAGAAGTGAGCAAGAGGGAAAGCAACAGGCTTAAGGGTGAAGGAGATAAAAAGAACAGATACCTACCCAGACCTGTGCTATCTAGCTACTGGCTTGTGGACTTATATTATCACCACTTGGCTCACCACTGGGCTCCCCAAATGGATCACTGTTGGAGGAGGCCTGTGATCCATCAGGCTAGAACACAACAAGAAGATAACACTTTTTTTTTTGGTCCTTTTCAACAAGTGAAAATATAAGGCAACCAAGAATCTTTTCATGCAGCACATACAATCAAGTTATTTAAAAGGAGTGGCAACTTTGGTCAGATGGTACCACCCCATAATTCCAAGAGCTTGTAACAATCACATATGAGGACAGCATTTTTTGGCAGCTGCCTTTGAATATAAGAGAGAGCCCCTCCAACAACGCTTTAGAACTTCAGAGTCTGAGGCCGCATTCTCTCCTACATAAGCTGCTTTATGCGCAGTCTATTTCAAATACAGAAGTCTTACTATGAAGGAAAAATGAAGCAGAAATAAGAGGCTTGGCACTTACAGCTTCTTGCTCTTCACTTTTGCTGGGGCTTTCAAAGCCTTCTTCAAAAATGTCATCTGCGGTCGGATCACTGGCATGGGATGCAGATGATTTGGATGGAGAGCTCTGCCTAGGGGCTGGGGTTGGAGCTACAGAGACCATGCAAAACAAACAGAAGAAAAAAAAAACAGACACCACCTTAAGTGCACAATACCAACATTTATACCCCAAAGACACTTCAGGGATTTGCGTATATTCAAGTCAAAATTTAGGACTCCTCTTCCCATCCCCAAACCAAATAATGTAAATATCCAACTTCCTCTCCTATACATGTTTATCTTGCATGCTTACATACTTCATCATGGAGAAAGAGACTTGTCCATGCTGATGGAAAATGCAGCAGTCCTCAGGGGATGATCCCTGGACTGCCAGCAGGAGCACCATCCAGGAGCTTGTGAGGAATGCCTATCCTTGGAAGCCAAGTGCGATCAAGAAATCCCCAACTGTGCAAGGGATTCTGATGCATGTAGCTTGCTTTCTTGTCTTTTACAAGAGAACATATTTATATGTGCCTTTTATGTGTCAGGCACTGCTGGACATTTTACATTTTAGAAATAATATCTCTAAACCCTCCTAAAATTCTTTTGAGGTGAAGGTTATCCTAGCTTCCCATAGAAGGAGAGCGAAGGTTGTGACTTTGCTCATGGCAACTGGCTTTGGATTCTGGCACGAAGCAGGTGCTCACAAACATGTTGAACAATCACAGTGGGACACTTGATTCTATAAGAATGCAAATTCACTGTATTGACTTTACCACATTTTTCTTTCTCATCATTTCCCGAGGTTAATAATGAATATATTGGAAACTACTTGTCTAGTAATTCTAATTTAGCATAGGACATACTGACTTAGTCCCAAGTGAAGAGGCGAGATGGTTTGATTTAGTAGCTGACAAGCCATACCACTGATAGGACTTCCCTGCTGTAACTTCCCAGATCTTAGAAAACCTGGCAACTTAATCAGACAGTGAGCGATTATAATACTTGGTTGTATATCTTTTACCCCAATGAACCTGTATTTAGTATAATGATGTTATTTCAAATTCTAATTATCTACAACATGCCAATGAGGAAAAAAAAACTTTCCATAGTCCTAATATAAACAAACACATGCTGTTACTGTCTCTTTGTCCCACAGATGTTAGAAGCAACAGCTCAGAGAGCTGCTCAGAGATGCTCAGGGCTATGAACTATGAGCTATGAGCCGTGGGATCTGTGTGACACTGCTCAGTCCAGCTGTGCCTTTCTGTTTTCTGTTTGAGGTTCATTTTGGTTATAACCAATCTTCTACTCAAGACATCCTCAAAGGGATATTGATAGGTAAGAGTATATATAGATTGGTTTCATCCATTTTCTTTCAAATACAATTAATTTTTTTTTATTTGAAAGGAAGTCTAGAGAGTAAACTCAACCAAAGTACATTGTATGTATATTGTAAATACCACAATGAAACCTCTTTGTACAATAATGTATGCTAATGAAAAAAACAAAAAACAAAGCAGGTCTACTGTTCATGAGATGACTTCAGAATAAACTAGCTGCAGTAGGATTAAAGCCATGTAAAAACACCCTGATGGGTAGATGTTTAATAAGTATTAGCTTAATTAGATTTTCTATTTTTAGAGACAGGGCGTCACTATGGAGTCCGGTCTTGAACTTGAGGCCCTCCTGCCTCAGTCTCCCAAGTGCAGAAATGACAGGCACATTCCATCATGCCCAGCTAGCTTAATTGGATTCTGAATTGTGTTTGAATTGGTTTATTGCTTACCAAAGGCTGAGAACCCAGGCTGAACTGCCAATTTTGACAGGTTATTGCTCATACTTACCCAATGAAATCAATGGGAAACTAGGAGTTTATTTATGCAAGTGCCTTAATCTTTCGGAGGTTTTAACAGTGGTTCTCAATCTGGAGCAAATTCATCCCCAGAGAACATTTGGCAAGATCTGAAGTCATTTTTGATTGTAATGACTAAAAAAAAGGATGATTAGGAGGTAGGAATTGAGGCTTAAATGGTAGAACACTGGCCCTGAGCAGTAAACTCAGTAAACCCAGCCCTTGAGTTAAAGCTTCAGGGTACGCGTGCGCACACACACAGGCACACATGCACACGCGCACACGTGCACACACACACAGACACACAAACACACAGACACACACACACAGACACACACATGGGGAAAAAAAAGAAAAAGAAAGAAAGGAAAAAAGAAAGTAGATATATATTATTTGTACCACATGGGTTCAGGCCACAGCAAAGGCTAACATCTTACAATTAACAGGACAGCCTCCTACAACAAAGAAGTATCTGGCTCCAAGGATTAATAGGGTCAAGGTTGTAAAACTCTGATTTAAAACTATATTTAAAACTATAACTGGCACTGGTGGCTCATCCATGTAATTATAGGTACTCTAAGGATTGTGGTTCGAAGCCAGCCCTGGTGGTCAATTGGAGATAAGAGTCTCATGGACTTTCCCTGCCCAAGCTAGCTTTGAACCGTGATCCTCAAGTCTTGGCCTCCTGAGTGGCTAGGATTATAGACATGAGCCACCAGTGAGCATGATATTTGTTTTTAAAAGATGTTGGTTGAGGAAGTGGCGCTGTGGCTCATGATAGAGCTCTTGCCTTGAGCTGAAGAGCTCAGGGATAGCACCTCGGCCCAGACTTCAAGCCCCATGACCAACCAAAAAAACTGTTGGTTTTCCTTTATTGCATGACTGTTATTTCTTTAGCATTTCATTTTTTACACATCATCCTTCATTGAAACCCCATGAATCAGAGTTAATAGATATTTCCCTACAATATAGAAGTTCAGGCTGGAGTACATGTAGGTTTTCTTTTTATACACATTCAAAGGTATTCAGTTTGAAAATGCATCCAGGAACCTGACTGAAATGATACAATCTAATTGTATTAACATTAGATTTTTTTTTTTAACAATTCAAGGTACTGCCCATGCAGTGATCTGTGTCACTGATGACAGTAATGAAAATGCCCAATTCACTGTAGCATGAGTTTCTTCTTTCCCTTATCAATTGTCAAGCCATAGGCCAAGTCACCAGAACGCCTTTTCTAAATTGTGTCAAACAAGCAGGAGAGTGATCAAGTGTGTCTGGATTGTGGCTTGGTTGAATGTGTTCAGTTTTCTTGATGTGTGCAGTAGGAAAGTGAGCTAGGACAGAGTTATTAGATGCTGGGACTAGAAGGAGGCACCATTCATCCAATCAATTCACTGAGTTTCAGAGAAACCATATAATAAAAGCCTGGCCTAAGCCAGAAGGAGAGCTATGGCTCAAGGGGTAGAGCATTAGCCTTGAGCAAAAAGTAGGAAGGCCAGGGACACAGCCCAGACCCTGAGTTCAAACCCCAGGAATGGCAAAAAATTAAAATAAAATAAAATAAAAACACAAACCTGGCTCAGGGCCCTGCACAAGAATCACTTGACAATAATATTCTAGCTTTTTAAATAAATGTTTTCATATGTATAACTATAGCTTTTTAATCTTACTTTTGGTAACAGTGTGGTTCTGAACTCAGAGACTCACACTTGCTAGGCAAGTGTTCTACCACTTGAGCCACTCTTCCAGCTCTTTGGGCCTTAAATTCTTTTTCAGCTATTATCTCATGTTTTTGCCTGGAGCCAGCCTTGGACTTCCATGTTCTTAGGTCATTCCTCCTCAAAGCTGGGATGTCAGGTATGAGGCACCGAATTATAGCCCAGTGTACAAAAACAAAACAAAACAAACAAAACCTTGTAATAACGCTTAGCCTTAGATAGATGAGGAATCTGAGGCTCATAGAAATAAAAATACTTAAACCAAAGCACAAAACTAGTAAACACCATCTAGTAAACTAGTAAAGACCACCATCTTTTTTTCTCTTTCGCTATCAGGAATTGGAGCCCGAATCTTGTTTCAAGCATCTATACAGCTGAACATAGCTTTATAGATGCCATAGCTCTGCTTTGATTTTGATCCTGGAAGGGCACTGGTGGCTCTGTAACTACTTAGAAGGCTGGAATCATGGTTCAAAGCCAGACCAGGTAAGAAATCCATGAGACCCTTATTTCTAATTAATTACCTAAAAGCTAGAAGGAGACATATGGCTCAAGTGGTAGAATGTCAGCCTGGAGTGAAAAGCAAAGTAACAGACAGTGTCCTGAGTTCAGATCTCAGTACTGGCACTGTGCTGTTCCCCCGCCCCCCAAAAAAGTCATGATCTTAAATTTATACTCTAACTTTTAGACTTTGTTCTTAAGTATTTTAAATTTTTTATTTTCTATTCATTTTCACTTCAATGAGCTGGTACACTTGACAGCAGCATTGTTATGAGTACAAAAAATAGGCCTGTAAACATATGGAAAGGCAGATATTGTAAGTGGTACTTGAGTTAGTAGCTATTTTGATTGACAGAAGCAGCAACAGAAAACCTTGGTGTCTGCAAGTGAGACCCATTTGCTGACTCCAGAAACCTAATGGCCAGACACAAAGCATAGCTCTCTCATTGGGTTTTATGGCTCAAGGAAAAGGCACTCACGTGAGTTGGTGGATGGTGTGGTAGAAGTCACAGGTGTCAGATTCAACTGGGAGATGTCGAAGTCATCACAGTCATCGGCTTCCTGTGCCACCCCGACTTTGTTGAAGTAACTGGAGAAGGCCTCTGAGGTACAGGTGAGGGAGGGCTGGTCGGGCTTGCGGGAGGGCACGGGTGGAGGTTGGACCATCTGGAAATCTTTAAACATTTCCTTCCCCATTTTCTGCCTGGGCTTGTCGCTCTGTGGACTTGACCTGGCCGAGTCACTTGTGCCTGGGACGGTGGCAAGGGGGGTGAGGGGACCTTGGAACATGGCGGCTGGCAAAGGCATAACAGTTTGTGTGGGCATGAAGGCGGCTGGCGGAAACTGCCCGGCCACAGCTGGCCAGGGCTGCTGAGTGGCAGGAAAGAGACCCGGCTGGCCCCAGGCGATGGGCTGAGCCCCTGGCATCACCTGAGCAACTGGTGGCTGAGCACCCATGGCAATCTGCTGTTGGACAAGGGGCTGCTGGCCCCAGAAGGATGGGAGGACGGCGCCCATAGCAACATAACCTACGATAGGGAGAAACAAAGGAAAGTCAGGCATCTTGGGGAAGAAGTCATCGATTTATGTGATGGACAGAATGGTACTGTTTTGTACAAAAAGGCCAAATTGTATGCTGGGACCAGAAATGCCCGCAAGAATAAGACAACTTCTAGCCAGGCACTGGTGGCTCACACCTGTAATCCTAGAGTTACTCAGGAAGCTGAAATCTGAGGATCATGGTTTTGAAACAAGCCCAGGCAGGAAAGTCCGTGAAACCCTTATTGCCCATTAACCAACCTGTCCACTTAAAGTTCAGCAAAATACAACACTAGGAAGCAGGTACTTGAAAGGGGCAGAGGTGGGATGAATGGGTAAGGGGTAGATAAATGAAGAGGAGAAGAGGGGGAGAATGCAGTCCAGAATTTGATGTACATCCTTCGAAATTAAGGAGAGTGGGGGAAGGGATGGGTAGAGGAGAGAAGAGAATGTTGAGAGGGGTGACATTGATCAAGGTACTTATAAACTGCTTTGTTAAATGGCAAATCCTTTGTATAACCACTTAATGAAAGATTTAAACCCAAGCAGTAAAGCATGCCAGCTTTAAGTAAAAAAGGAGCAAATGGCCAGGTACTGAGTATAAGTCCCAATACCAGTACACACACACACACACACACACACGCACACACACACATGCACACACACACACACGTGTCCTTGCCCTCATGGAGTCTACCTTCTGAAGAAGTACTCAGAAAAGACCTCTCATGGGAGATGGCTCACATGCAGACCCTAGAAGACTGAATGGGACAAGCCATACAAATGCCACTAATGCTATGATCGCCGTTCAAGTTTTGTAAGTCTCCTGGCCTAGAAGTCAGTGTAACTCAGTGGAAGGGGAAGAGGATTGGAAGGCAAGCTTGCTTGGATTTTAGACTTTGCTTTCTTTGCTGAATGTTGGACATTCTCAACTGCTTGAGCTCTGAAGAGCCATAAGGTCAGGTAACAAGACCTTCCTTCTCAAAGTGAGTGAGAAACTTTTAAAGCATAAGTTGAAATTCAGACTGGGGCTTCTTCAGGTATGCTGCTTAACTTCAGCCAGGCTCTGTGTCCTGATCTGTCAGTGCACTATTTTCTGTCTGGACTGAAAATTGAGATTACATATTCAGGTATTTGATACATTATTTCTGTGTCATTAGTAGTCTAATTTTAGAGAAAAAAAAACCTATTATTCAATTAGGGGACTTCATACAGTGGTACAGTTGAGGCACTAGAACATTTCAGGGCACATTCTCCTATATTACTATAATACTTGTTTGTTCTACTGTTTTTTCAGGTAAGATACATACATTTTAACAGGAGTATAATGGTATTTGTTACAATAATAATAATGACAGCAGTATTTTTCATTTTAATTCTTGTGCCAGTATTGGGGCTTGAAATGAGGACTTTACTCTCTCACTTGGCTTTTCTGCTCAAGATTAACACTCTGCCTTGAACTGTATCTCTACTTCTGGATTTCAGATGATTGATGAGACAAGAAACAAGTCTCATATACCTTTCTGCCTAAGCTGTGTTCAAACCAGTGACTGCAGGGATCCTCAGATCTCAGCTTACTGAGAGGCTAACATTACAAGCATAAGCCACCAGCACCCAGAAATTTCCACTTATTAAATGCCCACACTTTGTGCTGTTTTATGTCTTCACAAAATTGCACATGGCACGTTTTTACTATTTCCATTTTACACATGAGAAAACTGGTCTACAGAGAGGAAGAGAAGTTTTCTTAGGACCATGCAGCTTGCATGAGGTAGTGTCAAGCATTTATACAAAAGTTGTTTGCAAAGTCAGTGACTTGCCTTGGTGCCTCACTATCTCATTCAAATGGCCAACACCAATTTCTGATCTTTCCTAATCAACGGGCCTGGCCCATCAGGAAATGACTTAGTATACTACAGGCCTGTTAGAAACTTTCATGTGTTTTCAGTGGTTCCCGTGCTTCTGAGAAGATATAACGGCTTACCTGTGTGTTCAGCTGAGAGATGAGTGACTATCCAGGCAGAGCAGAGGGTAGAGAAATTAGCTTTGCCTGGCCTCTCAAAACAAGCATTTTCATGGCTGCCAGAAAGAATGTGTAGGTATGGTACAATAGGACCAAACAAAAAGAAGAGTGAATGTAGGATATCCAGAGCAGAGAAACCATGTCCTATACATGATTTCTCCAGATTCCAGTCTCAGATCCAGCTGCTTCTCAGTGGATACACAGGATCTCAAGTCCACATTATAAGCCTGGGAATTTTCTGGCTACATTCCCATTCCCCCTCTCCCTGCCCCAATCCTATTCTGTCCTCCAGAGAAGGCAACAGATAAAACTTATGGCCTTTTTTATTGATTAGCCTAGCAGTGATGATTGCTTTTATGGAACAAAGCAGAGATATCAACGAACAAGAAATAGAGACTATCTTTATATAACTCTTAATCTAGTTTCACTGGAGTTAGATAGATGAAGACATGCTAAACTTAAAACTTGCTCTCTACTTGCTTCCTCTATTATATACTAGTGTAGTGTCCTGAACAATAGTACCACTTTGTTTCATAATTTTTACTTACTTGGGTATGGCTCAATTATTCTTAGAACTACTGCCCCCTACAGGTAATTAGTAAGGAAATTAGTAGGGCATGTTTTGGTTTTTATAGTAACTGCAGATGGCGGGCACTATGGTATTGAAGGTCCTCTAGCATTGATAGCATGCATTCTATAATGTTCAAGACCAATGTATAAGTTATTTAATTATCTCATATCATGTTGGTGATTATTTGATCCTAGAAATAACTGAATTAATGTGGAGATTCAGTTTCTTTCCATAGTTTTAATTCATGGATTTTTCTAGGAATTTAATAAGTATGTACATTGAGGGAAGATTGTATTTTGTTTGATTTAGAACACTCAAGTGTGGCTTATCATTTTAGAAAATGATGTTTCCCTTCTTATGAAGGCTGAGTCTATACACAGGCTGTGTACCAGCCTAAGTTTGTAGCTGCAGCTTTTAGTGGGGAACTCCATTTATAGACACAGGCATCTTATTTTTTACTATGCCCTACAGTATACTCATTCTTGGGTATTTCCTTACTGAATTATGTACTTTATTATAAAGGAGCTTTCTAAGTTTTATTTTATGTTATCATTATAGCACTATAGTGAATTAGAAAAATGGTGCAAATAGGTTATATTGTAATGTTTTTAAGAAAAAAATAACAGTAGAAGTCTCATGCGGATTTTTGTGTTTGTGTGCTGGTACAGAGACTCAAACTCAAGGCCTGGGTGCTGTCCTTCAGCTTTTGCACTCAAAGATAGTACTCTGACACATGAGCCACAGCTCTACTTCTGGCTTTTCTGTAGTTAATTGGAGGTGAGTCTCATGAACTTTCTTGCCTGGACTGGATCTTCAGATCTCAATCTGATGAGCAGCTAGGATTATAGGCCTGAGCCACAAGCACCCAGATCACATGCATTTTTTAAACAGCCCTGTCTGGCTCAAATGCTCATTTTGGTGAGTGTATGGAAGATTTTGATTTCTACCCTAACCATTACATTTTCCTTAACACCATGAGGATTCATAAAATGATACTATGCATGTCCTCCCTCAACTTACCCGCACAAACCCTTCAGAAACTGAAAAAAGGATAAGGTGAAGCTACCTTTAACCTCCCAAGCACATGAGATTAGCAACGTTGGTCTGCAAAATAGTCTAGGTCCTAATCTAGAGGATGGCTGTATGATGCTATATTATCTTGAACACAAGTCTCAGGTGCCGGGGTAGCTTATGTCACAGAATAAGTCATAGAAGGATCAATGCTTTCACTGCATTTTTTCTTAAAGTTCAATGGAACTCTAAGATGTATAAGCACTGTGATCTCTTGATTCCACTGCTTGTGGCAGGTTATTTCGTCCTTCCTTTCTTTTCTTGTTTTATCATAAGAAATTGACAGATGGGCTGTGCATACTTTTTGGAAGAGAGCTATTAGCATGTCTGTCTTCATGGCATTTGTTTCAGACCAAAGTACAACACCAGAAGAGAGAAAGGAGGTACAGTATAATTGGGGATCATGTTTGGGAGGTGGCAGGTCTTACTCATGCTTCCTGCAGCCTACATTCTCCTGAGGTCTGGGAGCTATGGTTCTCTGGCCACAGATGCTTTGCCTGAAAATCCTGCTGCAAAAGGCAGCAATAGCACTGGATCTGAGGAGACACTTGGTGGCTGCCAATGTAGCCACTTAACAACTTGTTAACTGTTTACTCTCTAAAGTGCATCCGGGGAGGGCAATGGTGCTGGGGAGCATATGCTCATGCCAATGAGTTCGGCTCAATCCAGAACCTCCTTGCTGTGAATTGAAAGGAACACCTGCATTTCTGCCTTGCAGTGGGACTTTTTCTTCAAGTGTTTCAAACTGCAATTTATAACCAGATGCTGGCACCTGGGGATACCCACATTATTTGAAAGAGAAAAAAGGAAGACTAAACATGTAAGAAAAGCATAGAAAATGAAGAGACTGTGGTAGGTATACAGAACTTATCTGGTACCTCTACATTAGCTCATTTGTTCATTCATTCATTCATTCATTGAAAAATACCCATCCAATGAAACCTCTATCTATATAATTAATTATAAGCTAATAAAAATACCCATTCTGAGTGCCTTGTTATGATTTAATCAGCAATTTAGATGCAATGACAAACAAAACTGTCAGAAATTAAACCCTGTCTTTAGTGCAGCTTATTTGGGCAGGGGAGAAGATGACTCCCAGTAAGCTTCTGGGATGGGATGTGATCGCAGCCACATTATCACTGTCTCTTTAATCTGTGTGGGAGAAATTGCAGTTCCATGAGGGCCAGACCTGGCACAGTGTGGGAGCAGCACAGCTTGGGTGCCTGATGGGTAGTGTGCAAACATCTGCTGAGTACCTGCATCTAAAACATCGCCACAAAGGTCTCAACTGCACAAGTTACCCATGCAATCCTCTGTCCAGCTCTAGGATGTCTAGGAGATGATCTCCCCGACTTGATAGGTAAGGAGACATTTAGTTAAGCACTCTGCAGCCGCTTCATGGAAGATCCTGAATTCATGCACGCATGCACTCCAGGCCATCCACATTACCTCTGCCACAAGTGGCTGAAAGACAAGACCTAAACTTCACCCATTCAAAATGATGCTAAGGAGAAGTATAGAGACTAGGATAAAATGCATATTTTGCATTAGAAGTCAGAGTAATAATAATGATTAGAATAACAGTTATTTTTGCTCCTCAAATATTGATGTTTTGCCAACATTTTTCAAGGAGCTTAATTTTATTTTTCTCATCTAATTCTCACGATACTGCTGCAAGGTAAGTTTTTTTTTTTTTTCCCGGCCCGTTTTAAGGTTGAAAAAAAAACAACTCTGGCTCTGGCAGGTTAAGTAATTTTCCAAGAAGCCTCAAGCATATTCAAAACAAATGGTGTAGCTATGTAGCCAGTGATACCTCTATGACATCATCTAGCTCACTGTTCCTCTTTGTCACTGGCTGGACAATTAGTGACAGCCACAGAGACTTTTAATACCACCTACAGGAGGGAAGGTGGAAGATAGTTTCACACCAACGGAAGCTTCTCTTTATATTACACAGAACAAAGAAGCAAAAAATATGTTAATTGAAATCAATTTTAGACTCATTCTAAAAACTGAAGTCTCGGGTAATTGATTTTTTAAAAAAAACTAACGGAAAGAAACAGCATCTGCACAGTTTGTAACATGGCTGGATAAGTAGCAAGAGTAAACCCAGTTTCCAAAGCTCCTAATCAGGTACAGGTTTGGGAGAAGACATGGGCAGGTCCTCAGAGTATATTCAAATGTGAGTGGTGAAAGAAATAATCGTCTCACTTATAAAGAAAGAAATGAGGATAAGAAAGTATACCTTGTTCCACTGGACCCTGAAGCCAGCTTGATGCCGCCTTTAACCTGGCCAGTCTACTGCCATCACCCTGTGCATGAACCTCTCCTGACCACAACCCCTGGGCTGGGATTGGAGGGGCCCCCACCCTCCTCTATACTTCCTTTTGTCCACATACCCGCCGCTTTTTAACGTCGTTATTTATTTTTGTGTTACTATTGTCTCCTCAGTAGCAGGTGAAGTCTCTGCTGTGTGTGCCTGGAACAGGATCTGACACATAGGGTTATCCAGAGAATATTTGTGGAATAAACATGCTTAAAAGATTCATACATCTGGCCCCTATGGGTATTTGTGTATATGTGTGTGTACATGTGTGTGCGTGTGTGTTTGCTGTGGGCTGGTACTGGGGCTTGAACTTATGGCCTGGGTACATCTCTGAGCTTTTGTGCTCAAGTTTTTGTGCTCTACCATTTGAGCCATAGCTCCGCTTCTGGCATTTTAATAGTTAATTGGTGAGAAGAGTCTCGTGGACTTTCATGTTTGAGATAGCTTTGAACTGTGACCCTCAGATCTCAGGCTCCTGAGTAGCTAGGATTATAGGCATAAGCTATTAGCACCCACCTTATGTATGGGTATTCTGAACACAAGCTTTAAGTGTAAAAGGGGGGTACATTTCTGATGGGAAATGGTATTCATATTTTATGTAGCCCTTTCTTCTCAAGGAGATTTTAATGTCCATTTTAGAATAAGAAAATGAGTCATTACCAACATCCCATTTCAGAGATGAGTAGAGGCGATTCCAGTGGTTAATTTAGCAATAGATAATTTTCCAGGCTACTTGAAGATTCTGAACTGTACATCAGATCCAATCATCACTAATTCCTGTGGCTTCTAAAAGCTCACAATGATCCATCGGCTCATAAGGAATAACCATTTTAGAACAAGATATGAATTTTCAATTTACTTACAATAAAAGAACTGTTTATATTTGATGACAAGATTTCACTTCTATTACTGTTAAAAACAATTATTTTTAAAACATGAGAAGATTAGTATTGTATCTAAACTATTCTAATTCATTTGTGGCTTATAAGAAGAAAAGTTAAGAAAGATTAAGTCTCCAATTTCAAGCACAGAGTTAAAGGAAAACACAATACTCTTTGAGGTTCCCATGTATGTAAAGACCTGAACTCATCCATCTTGGACCATTTACAAGTAGAGTAGCTGGCCACCTGAAGTGCCTGTTGCCATGGAAACACAGAGCATCCTGGGGAACTCACATATTCAGAACTCACCTGCAGTAACGTTACTACAGATATTTCCACCATGGCGTGAAACCAGGATACATGGTCTAAAGAATACTTGGAATACAGGAACAACACTTCCTAAATCTCTTAACATCCCACGGTCCTCTCAATGAACTGTTAGTGGTTTGCTCTTGTCCCACAGGGTCATCCATATGCATAAGGATGTCAGGACCAAATAAGGCAGGCCCCTTTCCACCATCAGGTCTCAACGAGATGATGGCTAGATGACTCCATCTCCTCTCCTGCTGACCAACTGCTTTCCTCATTGAGGTGGATGGATCTGCACTGGTTTGCATGGCTGTGGGTGAGCCCTGGCCTCCATGCTACAAACCTGACTGACTTAACTGGAATCTGTTAGGTAGAAGCTATTACTGAATTCTACCTAGCAGCTTAGCTAAGTTTTGAGAGCCCAACCTCTAACTCCCCACCCACATTGCAGCCTCTCCAGGTCCCCTGAACCATTACAGGAGAGAAGAGAGGTTCCATGGAATGACTCGACTAGCAGTCAACCCTTTCCCTCTCTGGGTCAGCGAGGCTGAGAAGAGGGAGGGAGTCAGGTAAGAAAAGCTTACCTGAGGGTACAGCAGCAGTACCAAAAGATACAGAGCCAAACACGTCTGCGCTCGCCGGAAGTGTCTGGGATGAAGACGGGAGAAAGGCATCACCTGGAGTTGCAGGAGTCTGTCAGAGAGAAGTGGGCACAGGTGAGGTGAGATGAGCTCAGCAGCCAGCACAGACACAGGAAGTCGGGATGGGAATGGGGCTTGAAGAAATAAGCCATAGTCCAGGCCACTGCTGGCTGCACGGACCATGATGGTGACAGAGACGTTGATCTATAGAACAGGTAAAATAATACCTCCAGCGATGCTGAGACCATGCTTTAAATGATTATTATTTCATGACCATTAGCACCATGTACATAGTATATGCTCAGCAAACAATGGCTAATGTGACAATCATTTCAGCTGGACCCTGACCTCTGGGAACTTTTCAAGCTATCAAGTTATTCTACAACATCTGGCTTTAGCCCCTTAGAAGTAGTCAATTCAAATAGAAATATACATTGTACATCAGCTCAGGACTTGCCACTTAATATGGGGCTAAGAAACAGTTGGAAAAATTGTGAAAGACAGTTAATTTGTCATGAATGAGCATGACCACAACCTTTGTATCCTGGTGCCTGTCAGATTCTTTCCTGAATCTTTATTTGCAAAAAGAAGTTTCAAAGAGTCAATGGAACAATGATCGCGTAGTTAAGAATGCTACAGTGACTGTCCAGTCCAGGATAGAATTCCAGAGCTCTACCACATGAAGACTGTTGTTACTAAAGCTAAAAAAAAAAAAAATCAAACTGAGCACTTGTGGGTCACACTTTTAATCCTAGCTACTCAGGAAGTGGAGAGTTGAGGATTGAAAAATGAAAGCCAGCCCAGGCAATAAAATCTGTGAGACTCTTAATTCCAGTAAAAACAAAACCAAACCAAACAACAAAACCAAACAAAAATCCAGAAGCTAATCTGTGGCACAAGTGGTAGATCTCCAGTCTTGAGCAAAATAAGCTAACGAAGTGTCTAGGCCCTGAGTTCAAGCCCCAGTATAAGCACAAACAAAAATTCAGCTGTCTTTAAGCATTCACATTTTTATAGGTTTTTGCCTACAGTGTATATCTGATTGATGTCATAATATCTTTGTTGTCTCCCCCCCCCTTGAAAAAGACTGGGGTAAGCAATTAATCCTGAAACCATGGCAATTAGACAAGGCCATTTTTAGACGAGCAGCTTGCTGGACAAGTAGCATTGTTCTGAGGATTATTAAATACCCATTTGAACTGAGCTTGGTTTCTGGGCCAGAAACAGCCATGAGCTGCTGTGTTAAGCACTTTCACATCTAGTCAGCAGTGTGCTTGTCCTTTTACATCCCACCATGTGACCTACGATGAGCCCTACAACTCTCCCCAGGACTCAGTTTGCTTATCCTTACAATGCAGAGGGGAAAGAACTCTTCAGTCCTTCCTAGCTGTATAGCCCTACCCACAGGTCTGTGAAGCTGTTAGCCTATGGGTACAGGAAGGACACAGTCACTAAGAGCTGTCCATCTAGCTTCTCTGGGGAATGAGCTGTGGCATTCTCCATCACGGCTGCCCTAAACATCAGGTGTTAGAAGAAGAGCAGCTGTGCCTGGATTCCCTGGCGGCAGCTGTGGGCAATAGGGTTTGAGGCCATCTGTCCTCAGTGGTGAGGTTACCGCCCTTTTTTCTGTGAGGCATATCTCGCCAATGAACCATAGCATCATCCCTCTGTTTGCACAACTGCTCAGGGCCGAGAGCAACAGCCCCCTCCCAGCGGCTTCAGCTGGCACAGCTGTGGCTGACTGCTCTCCACCCACCTCTGGGGAGTGGGCAGCAGGGATTGGAGGGACCATCTCCCTCTCTGTCTTTTGCAATGGCCACAGGGTTGCATTTGAATAGACCTGCATTGGGATTCTATTTTGCTTTGGTTTTAAATCTATTTTTATTTTTCATTTGTATTCTCCATCCTCTTACAATGCTGGCTGAGATGCTCTAACTGAAGCTCTGGCTAAGAATGATTCTTGAGTAGCATAGGGAAACACAGACATGCTCTGCAAGTCTGAAAGCTTTCTGGTTAGAGAGGCAGGACACAAAGCAAAGGAGAGAGACAGAGAGAGAGACACACAGAGAGAGACAGAGAGTGGGAGAGAGAGAGGGAAGGGGAGAAGGAAGGACAGAATGGGTGGGGAAATGGAGGCCTTCCTTCATGGGATGAACACTATTGGGTGCAGGATCAGATATGCTCTGTGGAGAGGTGGTATGCCACATGTGAGGTTCTTGCTTGTATTGCCAACTAGACCATGCACTTTTTGTGGGTAAGAACCATAATCTTATTCCCTGAAAATCAAGCCAGCCAATATCCTATCACTACTAAATGCATGGTCTCATTTACCTTTCAGAAGCATATATCATCATTCCTTTCTTTTTTTTAACAGGTAAAGATTATTTATTTACAATACATTTCTCTTGTTTTTTTTTAAATTAAACTTAAATTTTACTGCCAAGGTGATGTGCATAGGGGTTAGTTACATAAGTAAGGTAGTGAGTACATTTCTTGTCGAACTTGTTACCCCCTCCCTCATTTGTCTCCCACTTTCCCTCCCCCAACACCTTAAGTTGTACAGATTATTTACAGTATATTTGTCTTCAGGGTTTTTCTTTCAGACATTTAAGCTACTCTTTTAAAAATAAGAATGGACTTATAGAATGATAGCACCTCCCTACACCTTAATATTTTTTAAAAAAGTATTCTTTATTCACTTCCTGTAGTGTATTTGCATTTTTTGCCAGTCTTGGGTCTTGAACTCAGGGCCTAAGGACTGTCCCTGAGCTTCTTTTGCTCAAGGCTATCATTCTACCACATGAGCCCAGTGTTACTTACAGTTTTTTCTGTTTTACATGGTACAGAGGAATCAAACCCAGAGCCTCATACATGCTAGGCAAGCCCTCTACCACTAAGCCACATACCCAGCCCCAAGTATTTGCATTTTACAAGTAGAAAAACTGTTATGTCTCTTATTTTTCTTAGGGAAAAAACCCCCATGCTGGTTAATGATTAAAACTCATTTTAATCACTATCAAAATTCCTTTTATAAAAACTAAAACAGAATAGGAAATTAAGTCTCATGATTGCTAGGTAAGGTACCCAAGTTACACAGCCTGCAGGAAGAAGAGTTAAAATTAGCTATAGGCCCTTTCCCCCAAAAAGCCCAGGTCTTCACCTGTGTGGATGAGGAAAGCTTGGAGATCTGTGCATACTTACAGGGGGAGAGGTTATATCAGGAGGGGTGGACATGTCCCCAAAAAGTTCTAATTGGGTCACAGCCTGAAAAGACAAACAGAAAACCATGTAACCAGGAAAGCAGATGGTGTCAGGGTACTTTAAAACAGTATGCTAGTGGAGTAGACTCCCTTTCTTTCTTTGGGACTATACAAATGGCAAGTGCACATAGTCTTTACAGTCCTTCATGATTCCGACATCTTGGATGCACAGAGAATCAATTTTTGCTTCAGTGTGTCTAGCTGTTTACCTAGGTTCAGTCAATGTTGCCCATCAGCCATGGTGGTAATACAACTTCCCCCTGATTTACTACTAAAACCCAACACTGTGTCTTTCCCCAGGAGGCAAGGCAATAATCCAACCCCCATTAGTTGGTTTTTCTTTCCTAGGGTCTCCACACATAAAAGACACCTTCTACACGTCTAAAGATGCAAGGGATGATTTCACAGTCACTTTCCAGTGTGTGCTCCCAATAACATGACCCCTGAGACATAGAAATCATCACCTCCCATTTTGGCAGATGAATAAATTGATCCCAAGATCTAAAATTTCTGTGTATAGAGTGTACTGTACAATCAACTGTACAGCTTCCGAAAGTGTCTACCTTTGGGATAAAAAATGTCATTGAGGAAAAGCAAGTATTTCATTTAATCTGAAGAAGGGCATCAAAATCAGCCCAGTGTATACACTATCAATCATCCCTGCAGACATGGACTCATCTATCTTCCCATCCACCATACAGAACACATGAGCAAGGTTAGCCACGCCAGCCAAAGAATCTCTTTAAGATGTACTTAGGAATTAATCTGCATATACTTCCAGCGACACAGACAATAGAGAATCTCTGGCCAGGAACTAAATGGCCTGACTTAATTATAAAAGGTATATAATCACAAGGTTTGTGCAAACCTGTCCACTCTTAACTCATCTTAAGATCTTAAGTGGTAGCTTTTAATTGAGGAAACATAAACGCACCAACAGAGGGCACCAAAAAAGTCCAACAGCTCTGCTACACAGATCTCCTGCATAGGTATTCTGTTCTAACCAGGATATGGCTAGATAACTTAGACTCATACAAAGCAAATTGTTTCCTTCTTATGAGCAAGAGTTCACTCAGGAAGACATCTCATACATGAGAGCGTATTTTATTGTTACAATTCTCCTGCTGGGTGATGGAGATGACATATCTTTTTTACATATTTACTGACAACATTTCAGGTTTAGTATCTGTAATCTGAAAATTGAAAATCCAAAATGCTCCAAAATCCTAAAGTTCCTGAGTGTTGACGCAATATTCCAAGCACAAGCTGGGACCCTATGTAACAGGTCACATTCAAAATGCAAGCGTTATGATCTTATACATAACAGACAACGAACAATATGGGGGAAATAATTTTCAATGTCATTTCAATAATTTTAACTTCTCTTATAAGATGTTTTATTAACAGTGCTGATGGTATGTTAATTACATTATCTTAAATTACATGATATTGAAATAAATGGTATTAGATTGCTTTTTGGAAAAAAAATGCAAGCATTCTGAAGATACTGTCCAAAGTTACCGTCCTTCAACTTATGTGCACATCTAATTATGAGACAGAAATGAATTTGTGTGTATAGACTTTGATATTATCTCCAAGGTCATTTTTTTCAGGCCTATATCCTAAATTCCAAATTCTGAAATGTTTGCCCCTAAGCATTTCCAAAAAGTGATTCCACCCTCAGTAGAATTTGAAGTTTGACTTAAAATTGTTTTTTTTTTTAAAGGCCCCAAAGAACTCTTTTTGCTGAGAGAAAAGCTAAGCCTTGTGAACTCACTTTTACCTGATCTTCCTCTTGAGCTCGGAGATTGAGTAACTACCTGGGCACACTGGAAGTTTTATACATATTCATATTTAACCGCATAATCTTCTTCCTATAAACCTTGAGCAAGCACTAGGTGCTGAGCACTGCGCTAAGTTCTGGGACTGCTGTAAGAAGAAATGCCAAATCCCAGCCTGCAGGGAGTTCTTATCCTCAGAGGACAACCCATGGGTGTAGATCATTCCAAGCTAATATGGCAGAAACAAGAGAGATCTCAAGATGGAGCCTTGAGATGTGGGGGCACCTAAAAAGGGCAAGAAGAGTTGGGCGCCAGTGACTAATGCCTGCAATTGTAGCTACTCAGGAGACTGAGACCTGAAGGATCATAGTTCAAAGCCAGCCCGAAGACTCTTTAATCAACCAGCTAAATGCTGCACTGGTGGGAGGGTTCAAATGGTACAGTACCAGCCACAAGCAGAAAAAGTCAAGCAAGAGCACAAGGCATATAGAAATACAAAACTAAAGCAGGGGCAAGAAGTTTGTTGAGTATTTTCCAAAGGAAACAGCTTGGTCCTGAATCCTGAAAGAGAGGAACAATGTGCCAAGTGATGAAGAAAATGAAAGTCTTCCAAGTGGAGCGAATTGCATGAGCCAGGAGGAGCAGCAGGGGTGGTGGGAAAAGAAGCTGATGTCTTGGGAAGGGAGGAGGAGAAAGGACAGGGAAGGGTCGTGATCGGACTTGTGTGCATTTCACAGTTCTCTCTCACAACTGGATTCCTTCTCACATGGTGACACAGTCTGGAGGCTTCAGGGAATGAATGGCTGACAAGCAGGATGCTCTCTGAGATCCAGCCACATCCTCCAGAGACCTCCCTCAGCATGCCTGCTTTATTTTATGTGATCTGCTAAAAGTAGGCCAGACTTCAGAAGCCCCCCAGTTCCTGAAAGGATTAGCTTAGTCTAATGAATTCAAGTAAAGCTTCAGCGCTTGCTTACAGTTGGAATGGTAACACTTTTTCACATGCCCCACCATTATTTTCCACGTTAGGAAAATATTAAAATGAAGTTAATAATTAAGTCACACGATTTACATTTCAGATGTGTTGGACTCCTGGCATACTTTCGCTCACGTCGTAAATATAATTTATTGGCTAATTTTCTCCTTTAAGCACAACTTCTAAAATAGCCTTCGTTCTTGAGATATAGGCTTTCCTCTTGCCAGATGATTTTCACTCAAAGATTAAATGAGAAAAACACAGAGAAGCATAAAACCTAGATTGTTATTTCGTTCCATTGGATTTGCTGTTTAAATAGAACCTTGAGTTAATTAAATTTTATAGAAAAAAAGGTGGGGGGTTTCTTGGGCCATAAAATTGAGAATAATCTGAATAACTATGTATGATTGAGAATCTGCAATAGTATCTGTTTTTCACAGCTCTCCTCCCCGCCTCCCCACGTGGACCTCAGTCCTTTTATTTGTAACCTAATAAACCATGTCCCAGCTGAAAATATTGCTCTAATTAATCACTTTAAAGGCCTCCAGAGAATAAAAACGAGAGTTCACATTTGTAAAACACTTTATAGCTTATAGTACACTTTCTAATACATTATCATCATGTTTGACACACACTGAGCCCAATAAATTTGACATCATTGCCACTATTGGCACTCTCCACCCAGGGACCACTGAGATTGGGGATAAGTGGCCTACTTGTGATAAAGGTAGCAGAAAAGAAGAAAAAAATGCACTTGACCTACAGGCCAACCAGCACCTTGTTTCTCTGTCACTTCCCCAAACCCTACTTCATTTTGCTGAATGGGGGAAGTCCAGCTTTACAAATCCTCCAGTTAGAAGCCAGGGAACCTAATAGGTCTTCATATCAATGGGGAGTGTTTGGAACATCAGTTCATGGGGCTATCTACTTGCCACAGGGGAAGGGCTGTCTATTACTGGCATTATGAATGGCTTAGGTAGAAAGATGTGTAGCTATGGATGGTAGCTACCCTTCTTTAGGGTGTTGGGTGACACTGAAGGCTGTTCCAGCCAGTGAAAGAGAAGAGCTGAGATGTTTACCTGTCAGTCCCTCAATATCTCCATCAGGCTGACTCTTCCCTAGTCACTCATTTATTTCAGCAAGTGATGGTTCCCCAAAGATATATGGAAATCTCTGTGACTGCTGATTCGGTGTTAGTTCCCCAGAGCCTTCTGTCAACTAGAGTGCTGCCACCAGAGCTGGACCTCTCGAAGGAGAAATTCTGGCAGTGACACTGAGGAGGGCTGATAGGTCATGGCATCGTCTCTCAGACTCATCCCTATGTATTGGCATTAGTATCCCTTAGGGACCCTCAGGCAAGAAAAGATGGGAATCCCTGCCATGCATCCGCTACTATGCCAAGAGCAAGGGACCCAGAGCTGAGGATGGCCTGCTTTGGTTCCTACTGTCTTGAGCTGGTTTATGGAAAGGCAGACAATGGCTGCTGGGAACAGGACACAGGGATCCTTGAAAAGAGAGGCTACTGGGGGCACCCCTGCTCCTACCCAGAATACTCACTTATTCCTTCCGCCATTGTCTTTCTCACTCTTCCTTCAAGACATGAACTCACTTTTGCTTGGACTCTGGGAAGTGAGTCTTACTTGGCTCAGGCTTCATCCTATTGCCCCATACCACTGATATGATACTTTGAGATCAGTGTTTCTTAATCAGGGTGCATTGATGCCTGACTCTCATTTTATTGATTCTTTTTTTTTTTTTTTGTCGGTTGTGGGGGCTGAACTCTGGGCCTGGGAGCTGTCCCTCAGGTCTTCAGCTCAAGGCTAGCGCCCTACCACTTGAGCCACAGCACACTTCCGGTTTCTGCTTATGTGGTGCTGAGGAGTTGAACCCAGGACTTCATGCATGTGAGGCAAGCACTCTACCACTGAGCCAACTTCCCAGCCCCATTCTATTGATTAATGAATTTGATTAAGGAAGAGCTGAGTCACCTAGAGCTGCTCCATTGCTACCATGGCTCACAGTCTTTGCCCTATGTATTCAAGGGACTCACCCTCCCTGGTTTATGCATCAGCCATCTGAACAAACATTGGCTGCAAACCAGTGCATCTCTGCTAGAATATATAACACATGAATAAAGCCTGGCCTAATTTTGGTTCACAATGTTGCATTTGGCACAATTTCTTTGTCTCCAATTTCCTTCTCTGTTATACTATACTACACTATACTATGCTAAGCAAAGCTGGGTCAACTGTCCTAGACTGTCACACTTATCTTCCCTACTCTGTCCTAATATGTGCAACATTTAGCTAGGTGACATCATGAGCTTCTTGAGGACAGAGGGTATCTTCCCTTCTATTGCCCCTCTAGCATCTGTGAGAGTTCCTGTGATAACTTAGGGCTCCAAAATACTTGGTGACTCACACCTACAATCCTAGCCTGTCAGTAAGCTGAGATCTCAGGATTTTAGTTTGAAGACAGCCCAATTTGAGAAGCCTTGTAAGACTTTTACCTCCAATTAACCACCACAAAGCCTTAAGTGGAGCTGTGGCTCAAGTGGTAGAGTACTAGCCTTGAGTGAAAAAGCTAAGGGACAATACCTAAGCTCTGAATTCAAGCCTTAGAACTGGCACACACACATGCATGCACAGACACATGCTCTCTTTCTCACCCCCACACATACACACACTTGTTAAATAAAAAGGGGGTATTAACTATTCTTCAACACACACTCCCTTGCACTTTCACACACACACACACACACACACACACACACACATCTATGTGCACATACACTCTCATTATTTGACTTCATGACAGAGTCCACTTAAAATCTTCCTATGAGCGTTGGAACAGACCCCCACCAGAGCAGCATGGAGCAGAGCAACAGCCCCTCCTGTGGGGTGGGTAAAGACAATATGGAATGAAGGAAAATGAGAAGAACAACTCTCACTTCAGAGCAACTTTGACCCCTTACCTTTGTTGCTGCCAGAATCTCATCAAAGTCCATCGGCAGGTTTCTGTTCTGCAACCACAAGGCATGAAGAATGAGCATGACATGAATGATGGTACAGTGACAGGAAACAGTTAACTAGACAGAGCCCTCTCCTTCTTACCGGGGTGGCTGCAGCAAACCGCTCCTCAAAATCCTCCAATGGCTGGCTCTTCTGGAAGTGGAAAGGATGATGAATGAGGATGGAGTGAATGACACACAAATGAAATGGATTTATGACTTTAATGATGACAGTATCTACGGTTTACACTCCCCTGGTCTCTGTAGGCGGGAGCTGTATCCGATGTATGAGAAAAATCCTAGAATATATTTCTAGCATAAGCAGTTGGTAGTGAGATGGAAGTGAGTTGGAAAAATACGGCGGCAGCAAATGTATTTGTTTCGAATCTATCTTCGCACAATTATGGACATTACATAGTCTCAGTAGTGGCTATTGATCGAAGTGAGATAGGTACCCTTGAAGTTACCCATGTATAAGGAAAACATGCAACTGTGGCTTAGCCTCGCTTACTGCTTCAAAGAGCAGCTAGTGTTGTCTGTTTCTTTGTGCCTGTTGTACTTTCTGTTCAGAACGCTCTTCTCCTCATGTCCCCACGCTCAGTGCTCATTGCTGTCATTCAGTGCTGCAAGTCACCTCTCCTATGACACTGACCTTTCCCTCTGAGCCCATCCTCCTCCTTGGAGAACCCTCAGAGCAGGGAGTTCCCTTACTTATGGACCAGGCTGCATTTAGTCCTATACAGCCAACAACATCCCAACAGTCTGATGCACCGCACTGTTTAAACTACGTGAATGAATGCATGTCTTCAAAGTAGCTGGCAGTTGGCCAAATCTAATTGTTCTCTTAAATTCTCTTTTTATTGCGTATATTACATCCTATAGATAATACATATAACATCTATTCCACCTGTATATTTTAATGACCACATTTTGGTCTATATGTATAAGCGAATTATCTTTTGGATGATTTCCAAGTAGTGTAATGTTACTATAAATCTAATACTGGCATTAAAATGGAGTTGTTATGCATTCTTTCCTAATTTTGAGGAAAGCTGCACCTTGGCAGTGGCAGAAGAAAGAAACTGTCACCAATAGCCTCTCCTTTGCTGCGAATGACTTTCGCCCTGTAAAAATGATGACTAGGGGCTATGGATCTGGTCCACTATCATTCAGCCTGCCACCGGCCACCTGTTTTTATTAGGCACCAGCTCACCATGATCTAACTGTGGTTACAATAAGAGGAAAGTCCACAAATAATCGCAGAAATAATAATAGCTGATATTATTATTATTATTGTCAGTGTTGGGGCTTGAATTCAGAGCCTGGGTGCTGCTCCTTAGCTTTTTTGCTCCAAGGCTGGTACTCTACCACTTGAGTTACCCCTCTACTTCTAGCTTTTTGCTAGCTGACTAAAGGTAAGGGCTTCACAGACTTTCTTACCTGGACTGGCTTCAACCTACAGTCCTCCAATCTCAGCTTCCTAAGTAGTTAGGATGACAGGTCTGATCCACATGTGCCCAGCTGAAATAGTTATTATTATGACTTGGCCAAAGGTGTAGTAGGCTGGTATTAGTCTAAGTGATCTTGTAATCTATGGTGTGGCCTAACCTAAAAGGTTAAGGTTATGTCGCTACATCCTTTATAAATTCACACACTCTTAGGGATTTATGGCAGGGCCCCTACCAACTAGCTCTGGGTCATAACTTTTAATAAAAACATTTTTTAGTGTCCAAAATCTCATTACATCTGTCCAATATAAAAAAGCAAATGGCTTCAGAGCATGATGGATGAATTAAATAAATTTGAAAAACAGCCTGTGGTGGAGTCTCATAAAACCCTCACCATATCCTCACATAATGAAAATGTGGGAGGGTCACCAGCATCGGTGTGAGCTGTCTGTCACCTGCCTGGTGACAGAAGAGGTGGCCTTTGGACCAACAGAGCTGAGGGGTGATGGGCAATTTTCGCAAATTCAGATGAGGGTTGGTCTGGGTGCCTGAGGAAAAATGCATCTCTTTGGAGTCACATGGATGTGATGCTGACAGCCAATTAGCCTCAGTTTTCTCATTTCTAAGTTGGGGTTGGTGACAGAGAAATCCTTGCAGATTTACTGAGAGAATTAACATGCAATGTGTATACAGTCTTATTTGGTCTCAGGTACATTGAAGATGCCCAATACATTTTGGACATCATTTTGTATCCATTTCTTGGCTCAATTTAACAACATACTCACATATTTTTAAGGTTAGGGAACAATTATTATATGATATTTGGAACTAGAAAGAGAAAATACAAAAATCTTACTATGTGTCCCTCTTGAGAAACATCTTCCATCTGAAAGTACAGAGAGACCCCATGTCACAGGATGTCTGGTACTTCCTGGATTTCTTGGTAGTTTGGAAACAGTTAGTCTATTCTTAGCCTTTGATTCTTTCTTTGCTCTTGCTCCTAGTCACAGTTTTACTTGACCATCTTCTTCCCATCTCTATCTTTGTTATCTATGCTGTGCTGTTGTCCTGGATTCTGTCTCTGCCATTGGTCAGTGCTACTTCCTCCCATCTATGCTGACCTTTAGAGTTACCCAGTATCCCTCTGCTAGCCAAAGGGAGATCTTTCCAGCCAATACATATTTATCCAGCTGAGACTCACAGGCAGGACCTGCAAATATCTATTCTCTAGGGTTCCCATATTCCCAACTCATATTTTACCCACACTTAACACAGAGTTTTAGTTCATTTATCTTCAAGTCTTGAGTTTTTCTTCTAATAAATGTGATCAGAAGGTGACATATTTTACTATCATAGCATGCAGTTGTCTGTGTAGTATGCTTTTAATATAATTCCACATGATGTCAGCTGTAGTCCTAAGCTTGGCTTCCAGTGGAGAAAATGAAAAGAAGATACTACCTCGTGTTGTTTCAATGCAGTACTATCCTGACTCTTCAGAACAACTTTGAAAGAGAGTTAGCATGGAGCCTTATCATCTCTTTGGGAACAGTTACCTATAGCTGAGGACCGTGACTAGTGAAACCAGCAGGATCTGATGGCATAACTACACATGAGCCCGGACTTGAGCAGCAATGCCAAGAAAGATGAAGACTTACCTATGGCTGCCAGATCAGCAACTTGTGGTTCTCACCGCTATTTCTGGGGAATGTCTACAGAACCCCTGACACCTGAACACTACCATCCAAGATTCAGATTCTACTGGGGAATGTCTATACAAGCCCTGACACCTGAACACTACCATCCAAGATTCAGATTCTACTGGTGGGGAAGGTTTCAGTCGTTTTCAAAAGCTCCCCAAGCAATTCTAATGTGCAGCCAGTTTTGCAAATCACTGTGCTGGGGAATGAACTCTCTGAAGGACTAATCAGCCAACATCCTGCTGGGAACACTAAAAGCATCTTGATTGATTAGGTAATTGATTAATTAATTTCTTCAACAAACATTCACTGGAGTGTCTCTACATGCCAGGTAGATCCTGGCTCATCACTGGAGGTAAAAAGATAAGTAATATACAGACTTTGCTCTCATAAGCCCAGAACAGAGCCAAGATGGGTAATCATTGTATCTCAATGGGGTCGATGGATAGGTTTCAAAGGACTCTATGCTCCTAGATCTAAACTCAGTACGCAGAACAAGGCTGCCAAAGAATGAGTTGCATTATCCAATTATAAGGCTCAAGAGACACAGATTAAGTGATTTATACCTGCATGCAGGTGGGTACTATTAAAGCATGGGGCTGCATGTTACCTTTCCCTACTGCATGGCTGAGCAAGCTAGGGACATGCTAATGAAGACATTCTCTCTGGGGTAACTGTAAGTTTATGCTCTTCATCACCTTTAGCCAAGAATAAACAGCCACTTCCAGACTTCTTGGCAGACAGATACAGGAAACACTCCGCTTGACAATTAGCGATAGGAGTAGGAGTTGATGGAAAAGATAAACTATGATGTGAATAAGTGAATTCCTTCTAGACCAGTACTGTCCCACAGAACTTTCTGGCATGTCAACATAAAAGAAATGCAAATCAAAACAACATTGAGATACCACCTCACCCCAGTTAGAATGGCAAAAATCAAGAACTCTAACAACAACAGATGCTGGAGGGGTGGGAATGTAAACTTGTTCAACCACTTTGGAAAGCAGTATGGAGGTTCCTCAAAAGACTTCACATAGAGCTCCCCTATGACCCAGCAATCCCACTTTTGGGCATTTACCCAAATGTTTACAAACAAGACTACACTAAAGCTACCAGCACAACTATGTTTATTGCAGCATTATTTACCATAGCTAAGATATGGAACCAACCCAGATGCCCCTCAGTAGATGAATGGATCAAGAAAATGTGGTATACATACACAATGGAATTCTATGCCTCCATCAGAAAGAATGACATTGCCCCATTTGTTAGGAAATGGAAAAACTTGGAAAAAATTATATTAAGTGAAGTAAGCTAGGCCCAAAGAAACATAGGTCCCATGGTTTCCCTTATTTGCAATATCTAGTATATGTATGAGTCAAGCGGAAAAGGTCAGATAATGTGATGTTAGGAAAATGAACACTTAGATATGTATTTTAATGTTTTTTCTTTCATACATTTCTTTCTAACGAATTTATAAGATTATTTCTTTGTTGCTTTGTATGTCCCTCCCCCACAGTATAACCCCTGTTTTCACTATATTTGATGTCAGTATAACTTGTGGAGGAGATGGGGAAAAACAAGTCGTTTAATGATACAGGTGGACCTGTTGCAACAATGAGAAGTACAAGTTGTCATGTCGAAAACGAGCTTTACAACGTTGGTGCGGGGAGGGGGGGGAGGATTGGGTGGGGGGATGGGGGGGAGGCTGGGAAGGGATGTGAAGGGTAAACAAAGGAGGAGGCTGCAATGTTTGATAAGAAATGTAGGCATTATCCTGCCCATGTAATTGTAACCCCTCTGTACAGTATGTTCACAAAAAAATAAAATAAAATGAAAAAAAAAAGAACTTTCTGGCATGATGTGAGGTGTGGTATCTGTCTAGTCTGATAGTAGCCATGCATTATTACTGAGCTCTTTAAATACAGATACTAGGATTGATGTATTGAAATTTAAAATTAGTTTTAGTCATGACAACTGTATTAGGCAGCACAAATCAAGATAAACTA